TTTCAAACTTTTGCATGATATTTGGACATCCTTCCCTACAAAGAACTCTGTGCATATGGTTGACCTTAACCTCTGTGGAGTAGCCTCCTAGCCCTCCTAACTTCAACTCCTTGATTTCAGCATGTGCAAGATATGAGTTTAAGCAGCTCAAGGGTGCTTTGAGACATTCTGGTCTATCATCTGCACAGTGGTGTGGGAGTCTTCTGCCCATATCAACAGCAGCCAGAAAACAGCTGGATTGTTGTTATAATTGTTTTGTGGAAGATATGAAGGGGAATAGCAGAAAGAAGAATATCTTAGAAAATACTTCAGCATAAAGTAAGGGTGTGAAGTGGGAAGCTAGAGAAGCAGTCATTAGACAACCTAGACTTTAAAATCTACTGTATGTTGTTTGTGACCACTATAAATTACTCAGAAAAAACCTCCTTGCTCAGCCTAACACTGAATATCTTTACTCGCAGTTCTACAGCTTGTTCACTAGCTTCTGTGTTTCAGCTTGTATTTTTTATTTTTTATTAGAAAATTCTTCCTCTATGAATTGAATATTAGCAAGCTACTCTTAGGCATGCTTCTTACCTGGAGGAGGTTTCTCAGAGTTACACTGTGGTCTCTTTTATTTACTCCTAACTTACAATTGCTTTCATCAGCCATTAATAGATAAATATTTTACTATCTGGTTTTCTTCACCTACTGAATTCTTGTCTATATAGAATGGTCTTGCAGCTGCAGAGTCCCCTTCCTCCCCTTCATTCTGTAACCTAACCCATCCTTGCTCTAGAGATTATAGTATTCAATATCCCATTGAATTTGACACTCCCTCATTCTTCAGGAATATCTATTATGTCAAATTCTCCTTCCACAGTCATACACTCTGCTTTCACCTGTTATTATTTTTAAGCTTGTGGTATGCAGACCTGGATATTTTTTATTTTTTATTTTCATATTTTTATTTGTTATATTTATTTTAGTAGGCCATCTACCTATTTTTAAACGACTCCTCTGCCTAGCTCCCTACTTCCGAATAGACCACTGTGATTTCAGTTTAATTATCCTCAAGGTCATCTATTATCTTTGTTCCCATGTTTTATAACTGGATACACAGTTAACATGCTGATGGGAGAAAAAGCAGGTATGTGGAAATGCAGACACACTCTTTTAGCCAAAGACTTGACTACTCACATCCTACCCAGTGCAGACAATCCACTGCCTGATCCTGCATGGTGTGATGAGGTCAGAGCTGTGTGGCTGCGAACTCCTTTCCATAATTAGATCAGGGCTGCATTTTCCCTTGAAAATGCTCCCTTTTTATCATCAAGACATTTCAAAGCCCAATTCTATTTTTTTTTCTTTTTTTTTTTTTTTTTTATTTTCTTTTTTTAAAGCAGTGGGACAGCTGATTTTTTCTAGCAGTTTTTTTCCTGACAGGACAATGATAATGAAAAACAATTTCTACTTAGAATTTTTTTCAGCTATTCCATTACTGAACCTTCCATTGGTTCACTGGAAATTGTGAGAGGGGGTTTGATTCTTTTCTGTGGAAAGAACACGGAAAACCTTATTAGGCTTTTTGTAGCAAAAGAACAATTTTTCTTTTATTGAGGATTTTGCTTCTATTTTGTATAACATTTCTTTGAAAATACGTATCCCAGTCTCCTTTTAAATTTCTTTATTCTGCTCTGCTACTGAAAAGGCTGCAGATGGAAGGGGAGAACAAGGAACTCCCCATGTCAATCAGCTCTATTCATTCAATGGCTGTATTTCTTAGTTTGATTAAAAACATATTGAGCAGCCCTGGTTCCTCAGTTCTGCACGCCTACACAATCCTGACTGCCTTGCCATCCCCCTGTCAGTAAATGCTTTATCCTGAGGCCTTACTCAGATTGAGATTCCACATTAAACATGAATCCAAGAGGATATCACATGTTTTCAGGTCTTGGAATCTCTTAAATTCCACACAGCTTGACGGGTGCTGAGGGGGTTGGTGACGGTTAGATGAGGAGAAAAAAGTGCTTGAGGTGGACTGATAAGTACACTTTTTTTTTTTTAAAGAGAAATGGAAAGAAAAAGTTTGTGTAAAGCTTTGAAAATATCTCCGTTGTTACTGCCATCACTGGCATGAATGTACATGTAACATCTGACCAGCATATTAGTCATAAACTCTGATTTTGTAGGAAATACAGCACACTGAGCTGCCATCATACAAAGGAGCAGTTCTTGGAGAAGACTGTTAATTTACTACATTTTTAATGCTGAGGCATGTATTGGTCCCCTTCAGAAAATGTTCCGTTCTCTATATACCTCCTGTTCTTATTAAAATCAGAACTATGTGGAAGAGCAGAACCATGGAGTCTGCTCCTTATGGGGCCAAAAGAATGGCTGCTAACAGAAGTGTTGTAACTAGATTGGCTGTCTTTTAGCACTTTTGTTGGTGTCTTTTTTAAAAAAATCTATTTTATTTTATGACAAAATTAAAAAAGTTTGGTATTAATCAAAAAATCTCCATACTCCATACAGAGAATTAAAGTTGCAATTTAAACTGTACTCAAGTTGAAAACCTGCCTAGTAGTTTTAATGGTCTTTAGCTCAGACACCATACTAGGGACAACTTCTCAGAAAAATAATTTCTTCCTGTATTCAGCCCTGAAGAGTGGTCCATAAAAATCTATCTGCTCAGACACGTTGGAACTTAACATCTTCCTCTCTTTGGAAATAATCACTCTTTCCAAAAACATCAGATGGAATAACTGCTACCTAAATACCCTAATTTCTCTTTGCCTTCCCCATGTATTATACGGATCATGAACTTTAAGAACTGCGCCCTACAATTCTTCAAGAAAGGAAGAGACTGGATTATCCCCTTAAGCACTTCCAAGGATATATCATGTACAACCTATTCCACACATATCTTCCTTTTTTTCTTAAGTAGCTCGTGGTGTACTAGCACAAAACCATGGTACTTTTTTGTCTTTTATGGCAATAGACTTTGAGGGATACAGCAAAAAAAAAAAAGTCTGCTTTCTATCAAACAAAAAATATTCTTAATATTACTTTTCCCCGCCCTCAAAATGTTTGATCTTTGCAGTCACCCTTGACAGAGAATTCTTAGCACTGCTTCCATTCCAGATGAGAGAGCAGAGGTGCACTGGCATCACAAAATACATACCAGAATCACACTGCATACATCAGCATGGCCTCAACCAAGACTGAAATACGTATGCACCTTAAATTTACATGTCTTTGTGTGAAAAGAAATAAGTCCTACTGAGACAGAGAGCTCATCCAGTTCACAAGCACATGCTTGGTCCTTTCCAGATTACACACAGCCACTGTGTGATGCATCACACAAATCCAACAAAGAACACAACGGAGAGGACAATGCCATAGTTTCAGCTACTGTAACTCACCTACATGGTGCTGCCACTGAAGCTATCACTTTGGCAGGCTGGCAGCCAACTAAGGAGAAGCTGGTGTTCAACAGGATATAACTTGATTGAAGATGATATAAACCAAGAATGACATGGTGTTATAAACAGATTAGCAGACAGGTGAGACCAGGGAAATCAGTCTGGGACCTCTGTGTCTTTGGAATCTGATAATTTCGTTAATGCAGGTACCCCTGTCTGGTAGTAGAACGCAGTCATCCTTGATTTAGGAAGTTGTTGGGAGGCTAAAGACTCCCAGTATCAATAAGGATATTTAGGTATTGAATTCTACTGTGAATTTGGGCCAAAGTGACAGGTTTACAGTGTCGCAGGAGTATCTGGCTTGGCAGACAAGGTTTATTAACAACATACTAGTATTACACTCGGAAGAGCTTTGTTCCTCTCCTCTCTCACATTGCTTAAGTGTAGGGGTGGGGGTAGGAAAACATTCTTAAGGACTGTGTTATGGTACCACCAGAAACGTAAGGAGGGAACATAAGAACTTGCATATCTCTAAATACATGTGTGTATACACACATACAAATATACATGCATGAGTGTGTGTCCACACATAAAGCAGTAATGATGGTGATGGGGATTACCTGTTCACTCTGACAGTTGCCAGTACACAAAACAGATATTAGTCTATGCTTAATAGGTGTGTAATCACACCCACAGCTGGAGATGCTCAACACAGCTAAGAGCAGCTAGAATACCTTAAAGTGGTGTAGAAACTGTTTTAGTCCTCTGTTTCAAATAGTTCTTCTTGGTCAGCTGTGAGGCACATGGCATGTGAAGGAAGAATCATAAACATCCTTGATTTATCTAGTATTTTCACCAGCCATAATTTTTCACCAAACAAAGCAAAACAAAAAATATCATGAGCATAAAGTGATTTTGGCATCAGACTCTTCTTGTTTTCAGTCGCATCACACTGTGAGACAACTGGCACCATAATCAAACAAATAAAAACCATAGCACTGTTGGAGGGTCACATTCTTCTGCTGGAACTGTGGATTTTTCTGAAACTATTTACAAATTCTTTTAAGAAAAATCAGCACATGGAGTAATGAAATTACTCTCTACCTTACTGAGAAAAATTAGCTGATGCACTTATAACAAAGGGTACTGTAACCAGTGGCTACAGTTACATCATTTGGTTTTGATCAAGGAGAGATGTTGTTCCTGATTTGGTGTCAAAGTCAACTCAAGTCCCCTGCAGACTAGCTTGTAAATTCCTGGATTTAGCACAGAATCCAGTTATAACAAATGATAGTTCAAACCATCCTCCTTGAGCCTGGCTACTGTCTGTAAAAGCTCTCTCCCCACTGCTTATTCCTAATGTTTGAACTTCTCTTAAGTGGACCATCTCTACTCCCCCCATGGAAAGAGGAAACCAGCATTAGCCTTTCACAGCAGAATCACCCAGGCAAAATGTCTACACAGATGTCAACACCTTGCTGTGTTTCTGCTAGAGCCACGGAGCAAGTGAATTCCATGAGCATGCTACACCTTTGCTATTTATATTTACCTAAAATGTGTGTGGTGGTATAGGAACAATCTGGCATTTCTACTTACTGGTACAGTTCCTCACCATACAGCTTCTCGTAACATCTTGCTCTATTTAAAATCAAACTTGACTTGAGATTTTCTTTGCATGTTTTGTCTTCAATGTCCTCTTTCTCCCTTTCTCTTCTGTAAATAAATCGAGAAGGCATTTAAATCGGAGTATGCATTTCTCTATTAAATTGAGACAAACATACACGCAATATCCTCAGTGATGTTGACTATGTTCAAGTAGCTTTCAAGCAAGTCCTTCCTGATGCTGAAATGGGGTGTTTCTGAAAAGTGAAGGATAAGTGGCCAAAATCCTTTTAACACTGTGACTTACTGACAGTGATTTCTGATTAATTAGAGGCACATTCTCCCCTTGATATGTATACAATGTAATTTCCACTAACATCAAAGAGAAAACTGCCCTCCTTAAGTTTGTCAGGCAGTAACTACCCAGAGGCTGGTCTTTTGGGCTGAACAAAATTACTCAGCCTGTGGATGTTTTTTTCACCTGTCCACTGTAGCTGGACGGCTTCCTTCTGGAGCATGCACTTACCTCTCACTGCCAGTAACACCAAGTGCAGGCAGCAGCAGGAGAAGGAGGAGGCCTGCCCAGCCTGGCAGCTATCCTAGCTCCTACTGGCACAGCCGACATCTGGAAGCTTCTGCACCATGTTGGACATCTGTGGCACCAAGCCAAAGTGGCCCAGCTGTCAGGGGCCATGTTCAGAAAGTAGCACAGCTACCTTCTCACAGCACAGATATTTTTGGTCAACACCTGATCACAGTGACACAGCTCCCGTGAGCCCGTAGTGCTCCCCTCGCAGACAACTGTGGTCATCAGGAGAGGCCAAGAGCAGCTGCTGGAGGGAACGGCACTGTGTGGGAGTGCTGGTGGTGCTCGTACAGACATGGAAACACACCTGGGGCCTCCTCAGGCTGTCTGGCTCAGCTCAGTTTATGTCTCACACCAGTGAAACCTCTTACCCTTCCCCACACAATCTCCCAAAACACGTCTGTGCCTTTGGGCACCTGCCAACTGTGAGCCCTACACAGGCTGCACTGCAGGGGGTGTCTGATGGGGTCAATTTAGTAATATGGACAACTGGACCATGGACCTTGGTTGAGCTTACTAATGAAAATATGATCTGTGGATGCCTAGGTGGCTGGTTTTAATCCACACTGTGGCTTGGGGGAGCAGGCACCCAGCACCAGGAATGCTGAGAGAAAAGACAAGGGGTTAATAGCAATGCCCAACCTTAAGAACCATGGCAATTTATAATTCTTTGGTTACCAGCACTGTGAAAACAAAAACCTGGCTCTGCAGAAAGCCAGGACAGCTTTGCCATAGGGGGACCCCAAAACAGTGAGGTATGGGGTGGGGGAAGAAGGGTGACAGAATCACTGTACAGGGAGAGGGTAACATGACTTCCACGTACCAGGAAAAGGACCCATCCGATGGGAAGAGAACATGCCATCCTCAGCTTCCCTTCAGCCTTAATTCTCCTGCTGCTGCTGGCACCATTTAAAAGCAATCAAGCACTGCTCAAGCACTGAATAGGGCTGGTGCTTGCAGTCGATGCCAAAAGGTGCCTGAAGGGACAGGCCGGCTCCTGCTGGGAGACATGAGGGGAGAAAGGCGCCATTTTGAGGGGCCCCGTGCTTCTCCTCAGGCCCTCGGCCGTGTGGCACCAGAGAGGCCCCTGCCGTGGTCCCTGCTCTTCACAGGGCAGGGAGCACATCCTGCTCCCTCTCATCCCAGCCCTGTCACCTTACTGGGCCTGTACTTAGGCATGACTTAGAAAGCAGGTGTCTGTGTAAGGGAGCAGCAGGTGTCCCTTGGGTGTTGCACCACTGCCTCACCAGCATGTGGTCGAACTGCCTGACGCACTTTATCTCCCTCTAACTCATCCTACACAATGAAGAAAATTTATCAATTAATGGATAATCATTATAGATTTGAATAGCCATAGAATCATTAAATACCAACGAATCAGTTAAATGTAAAGGGGTGATCATGTTCTTGGGATAAGAAGGGAAATTGTCATCTGGCAGCATAAAAATACGGAAAAGGGGGGAGACGAGGAGTGGGCTGAGAGAATTCAGGGAAATGCTTGCAAGCATCAGAAGACAAAAGTAGAATGGAAACAGTTAAGGTTTATTAATCATTACTTGGGATTTCAGAGTAGTTTGAGGTGATGCCTTGGTGCTTCTCATGTGGCTTTACATGGAGACAAAGATTTGTAGCTCAGTCCCTCCATTCTGTGCCAAAATTCATGAACCTCATGAACTGGCAACTCTCGCTGTTCCCCAGAGCATTAGGTGTTACTCTTTGATTATGAGGGCTATGCCCTCTTTCTTATTCCAAATTATCATCTTTGTAGCAGTTCTTTCTGCACCATCAGCTAGCCGCAGTATTTCAGGGTCACAGGAAAGAGATGGAAAGAAACTTCTATTTCAGGGACCAAAATATTTATGTCAGAAGGCCAAGGCCAATAGCTGAATTTTAGGTACTTGTGTTTATTTTGCAGCTTTCTGTCAAAAGGGTAAGAAGCTGTTGTTGAAGGGCAGTGAAGTTCCCATTTCTCAAAAGATCCTTCCTGAATATTCCAAAATGGTTTTAAATGGTACCATTTGACCATACTTCTCTTTACTCGTGGGATTAGTACTGGTCCTAAGCTTGATGACACCAGCTAGACTGAATCCTGGAGGGGACACTGCCTTCTGACTAACTCGGTAAATTAGAAATACTAGATAGGAGCCTCAAACCAGGAGGCAAATATTTGCCTGGAATGGGATTCTGCTTTCTAGATCCCACACTCCATATTATTTGGGGATTTCAAGTTGAATTTGAAGTACACCTATCCTTTTCCACTTGTTTGCACTCCCAAAAAATCCAGCAGAAATTCAGCAAATAGAGGTAAATTTGACTGAGTTTGGAAGAGTCTCCAAAATCCTGAAGAATTTTAAACTCATGACTAACTAGCTACAGCACATCTTTGTTTTGTTCAGTTTTATTGCCTCTTCATCAGCGAACATTAAACTGCCAAAACAGAAGCAGACAATGAATCTGAAACTGCATAGGGGTACATAACGAAGGGTCTCTGTAAACAGGCTGTTATGGTTTCAGACAAAAGATCTCCAGAAAGCTGCGGTCAATGGACAAGCCACAGACACAGAAGGCCCCTAAATGCAATCATTTCAATAACCCTCATTATCTCTCAGCACCACAGAGGTACACGAGCTTTCAGTCAAGAGATATGGCTTGTTACTGGCCCTTTGGAAAGACTTCCAGCCAGAAATTGTTCATGAAAAACTGTTTATTTCATATCAAAACCGACTGACTTCTTAAAAAAATAATTAAACCTGGAAGTATTACAAATATTTGTAAAAAGTAGTAAAATAACATAATTCTGGTGGCAAACCTTTGCTTTCATTCACTTTTAATGCTGTTCTCATTATTTACCCTTTTACTAGAAACAGGCGAGTAAAGCCAAAAATAAATAAAAAAATTAAAAAAAAGAGGGGGAAAAAAATCTACATTTTAAAGTTTCATAAGGAATATTTATCTTTTTTCTTTATTTCAGCTCAAATTGCTTGGATGCTGCACCCCTGGAAATGTCCAAGACTAGGTTGGATGGCATCCTGTGCAATTGGATCTAGTGGGTGACATCCCTGCCAGTGGCAGGGGGGTTGGAACTAGATGAGCTTTAAGGTCCCTTTCAAGGCAAACTCTTCTACAACTCTACATCTGAAAAGTCATGCAAAGCTTGCACATGATGAGTTTGCATCAGATGAGCTCAACAGGAGGGTCATATTCAGTTTAATGCCAGAAGTGAATAAATGTTTCTTTTCTCAGAGAACTTTGTACCCCAACAGTGATAGTTGTCCAAGGTGAGTGACTCTGTGTTACCTGAACAATTTTAGAGGGAATGAGTTCATTCACAGTGTCTCCTTTCCCTGGCCTCCAGCCTGGGGAAGTGTCTGACAGCTATTCCTTGAGACTAATAACCTACTTGCATCTCAGAGAAAGTGATAGCAAAGCATTGTATTTTCTGAAAGTTCCTGGAAAACAAACTGGTTATATGCCTACCTGTAATTGATAATCATACCTCTAATAGGGTTCCTAAAGTATCCTTCAAAGGTTGTTCCAGAACTCTTTGGAAGTCCTTCTCACAGGTGGGGAGCAAAGAACTAATTTACTCTAGAAGTATCTTTGTCTAGATGTATAGATATAAAATATGTAACTGTCAAAAATACCAAGGCAGGTGAGATGTCAAAAGCTTCCAGAGGTCTGCAAGGAAGAGAGAAAGTGAAGGAACCTAGACCTTGTCTTTACAAGAAAGATGTTATAAAGTCAAAGTTCTATTTGCAGAACTAATTCTGTGTCGAACATAACTCCATTCATACCTACATCAAACAAATACTTCAATGTACAACAAAGACACTGGTTTCTTCAGCCTTGTATTTTCACAGAAGGATGCCAAAAGCTCTGTGACAACTCACTGCCTCAATCACTCTCACTCTGCAACACCAAGGTATCGCTGCCACACTGAAGCAGACAGAGCATGGTGCAGTTTTGACCATTTGGAACACAAGCACAAAATTTTGACCTATACTGAGCCCTTTTCCAGTGCTCAAGAGCTGTTTGTTAACATACACCCAAACACTACAAATTACGTCCATCATCAAACCTCTGGTACAGCCTGAGCAACCAGAACAGCCATGGGCATCAGTGGAACTTTTGTCTTCCAGCTTAACAATGTGGTTTTCCAGAAATGCTTGACACCACCCCAGTTCCTTTTCCATTTGACTCGTCGACTGGAGTGAGTAACCTCTGGATGCGTCTCTCTTCATTAGCTACAGAGGGAGTATAAATGGGCAGGTTAGAATGGTCATCTGACTTCTAGACACAGACATCAGGAAGAGAATCCTACCCTTTGTCTGTCTGACATAAACAGTCCTAGCAGGTTTCCCAACAGGCCAAGTGAGGCATGTTGTCCCAGAAATAAAACCTAGCCAGCTGGCATCAGGTAGAATAGTTCTGCTGCAATGCCCACTGAAGTTGCTGCAGTGTGTGAGCACAAGGCAGCAATAACCTAAAGGGATACTGGCCTGACTTGAAAAAGTAATTTCATTTTATGCCATGACGCTGTAAAGTAATTGTGCTCAAAATAACTGTTTTTACTGCCTAAATACATTTTTAGTACTTGAGTATCCAGGTGGATTCAATTGTGTTGCAATTTTGCAGACATTAAAGAGGGAGACTAAATGAGTGAGGCGGGGGAGAGAGAACAACACTGCACTCTGGTGAGACCCAGACTAGAGCATAGCACTAGCTCTCAGGAGCCTTAAAGTCTAGTCCTGTTTTGACCACTGACTGACAAATGTTTAAAAGCTGAGCATGGAAAATGAAATACAAGTGTTCTCTGTATCTGTTACAAAAATAATAATGGCTGAAAGCTTCAACGAGTGTAAATTGTCAAATAAGAGAAATCACTGATTCTAAAAGAAGCAGGATTACAAGCCAAATCCGGTCAGCTTTAAGAATAAGAACTTCCTTCTTGGGCATCTTTTGCAAAAGCAACATGTGACATGGCACAAAAACAATCAACACTTGAACTGTTATAAACCACATTAAAATAAATTTTTTAAATCCAAAACTGTGATTCTGATAAGCAAAAGCATGCTAAGAAGTTATACTTTTTATGTCAGTAACTGTTTATAGAACCATAGCCTTAACTGATGCTCAAAAGTCATTTCACTCTTCACAGAAGTTTTCACAAAGAAATAATATACAAGGCACACTAAACACTGTCAGGCCAAACACATTCTACTGTTTATTACACATATTACATTCTTAAATAAAAATGCGTCACATAACATTTTTGCATAGATATCTTACAATATACCAATTTAAAAAAGAATTATGAAACAGACCAGTAACAAAAATAAATTTTTTCTTCATTAATAATTTTGTAACATTAACATACCACCATCATATAATACAAATAATATTTTTAAATCTTAAGACTTTTTGTACAGCAAAAAAACTGACAAAGTAATATATATATATATATATATATATATAAAAAGCTTAAAAAAAATAAAATGTCAAAAAAAGGCAGAACTGAGGGCTACAAGATTGGGTACTTCTGTGATATATTAGAAATACCAGAGTAGGCCTGAGAGAACGTGACCGAGGGCATCTCCAAAATGCACTTGTCAGACACATCTGGTAAAAGAAAAATTATAGTGCAAAATGAAAGTCCTTCAAGCAATATTGTTTGTTTTTTGTTTTTGTTTTTTTTTCTTTTTTTTAATAGGGAGCATTCATACTTTGTTGTTGTTGTTGTTGCTAAAAAAAAAAATCCCCCAAACAAAAATCTAATGTGTAGTAGAGAGCAAGAAAAGTTTCAAAGAACAAGAAGGAAAACAGGTCACTTGGCAAAGCAAGAAAAAAAATCTCAGCCTGCATTATTATTTTTTCAACTAGTTGTGCAGACATGCCAAACTGAGGCCTTGTTTCTAAGAGAAAAGCTGTCATAGTTTATATGCAGTGATTTCAAAATCAGGTACTTAAATTGGTGCAAGAACCTTCCTGTAGAGGTATGTTAATTAGTTGAAGCATTTCTTACACTTCAGCTTAACTGCATAGGATGCCAATGCAAATTCAATCCAGGCAATCAAGTAATAGGTGCAGCTACAAAGTGATTTTAACTAGACTGATATTTCAAAGTAGGGCAGCTTCCCTGGTAGAGACACGGCCTTGGTAACAAAGTAGTGTTTAAACCAGCGTTTTGATCTACTTCTGGAATCTGACAGGTCTGGGGTTTAAAATAGAGTGAT